CTAACTCAGCTTAGAGGGAACACCGGCCTCAGGTGATGCCACAAAAATCTGTGCACCAATCTATGCTCCTTTGGTGGTCCCGTGAACGCCTGAAGCCAGCTCTTAATGCACCCGAGGCCTCCACCACAAAGTGCTGGGCCACAGCGTTTCCAAGGGCTGCCCAGGTCCCACCAGACCCTGCAAAGTCTTCGTTCCTGTGCCTGCCTCCTTCGTACACTCACTGACACACCCACGCCCCAGCTGACCTGTGGTTTAGAACGCGATGGATGGTCATCCAGTCAGGCTTGATGCCGTAGCGGTAGAACTTCTCCTCCATCTCAGCATAGAACGGGTCTTTGTTCTTCCTCTTCTCGCTCTTGCCGTCGTCGTCGCCGGAGCCATAGTCGAGTGGCGGGGGCTCATCCATGTCGTTCTTCCGCTGGTAGTTTCGGTACATCACCAAGTGGAAGATCTCGAGCTAGTTGGGGAGGGGAGGGGACAGAAGCAGAGGGAAATGGGGGCGCAAACGTCAAAACAAGGAGTCCAGGGGAAAATAGCAGGTCCACCTCAGTAGTGACCAGATGCTTGACCTAAGGAGAGGGTCCACATCCATGGGCCCCAGGAGAATACCCATGCTCAGCATTTATTGATTGACTGATTGATTTGACTTCTACCCCGCCCTCCCCAACAGGGCAGGCTCAGGGCGGCTTACATGAAATTCGACAGGTAAAACAACAGTTAAAACTATAACCATAAGAACAAGACTTAAAGTGCTACTTATCAGCTTATACGGTGACGGCGAGGTAGTAACCGCAGCAGACATACTAAAAATATAGTCAAGCAGTTGTTATTACAATTTGGCGAAGCGCAGGCTGTCGAGGGTGGCAGTGGGCACAGGGTGTTAGTTGTTAGATGCAGCTCCTTAACTAAAGGCCTGGCGGAAGAGCTCTGTCTTACAGGCCCTGCGGAACCTCCGGGAGCTCGTTCCATGGGCACAGAGCTGCCACTGAGAAGGCCCTGGTTGCTGTTAGCCTGGCATCTTTGGGACCCAGGAGGACCATTTTGAGACCCCGACCGTAGTGCTCTCTGGGGAACATGTGGGGAAAGGCGGTCCCTCAGGTAGGTAGGCCCCTGACCACAAAGGGCTTTAAAGGTGAGCACCAGCACCTTGAAGCGAATCCGGTACACTATAGGCAGCCACTGCAATGCTTTTAGAGCAGGCCGAATGCGCTCCCACATGGGGAGACCCAACAACAGCCTGGCCGCCGCATTCTGTACCAGACGAAGCTTCCGGATTTGGGACAAGGGCAGCCCCATTTGGAGAGTGTTACAGTAGTCCAATCTCAATTTGGTTGGCAGAGGCAGACCAGAAACAAATGCTTGGCTGCTGGCTCTCACTGGCTGGCGTGTCCACAGAGAGATCCAGCCACCCTTTTCCAACACCCTCTTTCAATAATAAAGTTCACGATGCTCTTGATGCTGATGGGTAAGGCCAAAGTCTTCCCAGGCCATCCTACTAGAACTCTCTCCTTACTCATCAGCAGCCTGGGAGCCACTGGGCCTCGATGCTTCCTCCCTTCCTGCCCTTGCCTTTCCTACTCGCTTTGCTGTTACCATGATTTGATTTATTTGATTGTATACCCTGCCCTCCCCTCCCCACCGAGGGTACCTGCACCATCAAGTACACGTGGCTGGGACTGAAACATCAGAAGCCTCTGGAGAATGAAGCGCTTGGGAGAGGCGACGGCTCCCGGGACAGACACCCAAGCAACCACGTTTGACCCACAGTTGCCGCCACGCTGTCAGCAAGCTGCCAAAAGTTTCTTTTCTGATGCCTGATGCTCTATGTCTGCGCATGCTCGCTTGCATTCTCATTTGTAGATGTGGGGATGCGCTTAATCGCTTGACTGCAGGAACATGTATATCTCTCAAGGCCACAGGTGGTTCGCTGCTAGATAGTTGCTTAGGCGACCTCTCGGCTCGGCCGTGGGAAGAAAGTTGTTTTGCAGACTAGAAGCATTTTGCTCCTAGGCTCAATGGCGCGCGGGGGAATACCCGCAATTGGGCCTCAGCGGTTTGAATGTAGTATAACTTGCCATGCTCTTTGAATGTCTCCCATACCTAACAGTGATTCTGTACATGCACCTATAGCTTCAAATAAAGTAACCCCTTTCTAAAAGAGTGCACTACGTTGATGCTGTGGGGAGACTGACACACACTGTATAGGTTTATATGTATGTGGGTGACAAGAGAGCTCCCCACGACACTTGAATTACAAAAGCTTAAATCAGAAGAAATTACGAACGATATACTGAAACATTTAAACATTTTCGACTGAAGATTATAACAAAAAGTCCAGATCGTAGTTAAAATACTTAACATTATGAACTGTATACTCGTGGATCTGCAAAGAGTACAGCTTGTTATAAGGTTAAAACAGGGTAGATAACTAGATACGTATCAGGTACTTAAATAGATAAAATGACGATGAAAAAGAGTTCCCCTGGTATGTAAGTTTGTGTGTGTTCTGTTTGTTTGTTTATTTGCTTGGTCCTAAAAAAAACCCAAACCGTTTGAATTACATGACCGGATAGCGGATCTCGTTAGCGGCCCCTGAAGAGGCAAGGTACCTGCCACAGTGGGGGGGGGGGCACAGCCTCCCTCCCTCTCGACCTGCGGTCAGACAGAGCCGTACCTGCAGCTCCTTGATCCAGGAGCAGTGCCAATAGGAGAGGCCGACCCATTTGACAAAGAACTCGCGTTCCGAACGCCCTTGCAGATTCTTGGGCGGCGGGTCTTCTGGCTTGGTGTCGGACGGCAGGGGAACGGCTACTGGGGTCGGGGGCTCCCCCCATCGCCAGTAGAGGATTTTCTGCACGCGGCCCTTCAGCATGGGACACTGGGAAGAGGAAAGGAAGGCGTAAGAGGCACTGGGATCCCAGCCGGCTCTTTTAGATTTATTTCGATCTTTATTTATTTAAAGCATTTGTGAGCCGCCTTTCGAACTTTTAGGAACTCAAGGTGGCTGGCAATGTAAACAATAATGAAATACTGTAAAACACATAAAAAGCCACAACTGAAATTAGGGCTGCCAAGTCCCGGGTTCCCACCCAAAGGGCCCCCAACCTGCCAGTCCGGATCCGGCCGGGGGAACTCCCAAAGTGCCCAGATCGGGCTGACACGGGGTGATGTGCCCAGGGCCATGACGTTGCCTGGAAGTGACATCATCACGGTGGGCACGTCGCCGGGTGACGCTCTAGCAATCAGGCTGAAAACTCTATGGTACCACAGAAAACCCTTGCTTCCCACCGAGACGGCTGCCTCCCTTGGCCCTCACCGTGCAGCGGGGACACAACCATTCCCCGTTGGGGATCTCTGGAAGGGGAGGGTTGAGGCAGTGGATGTGGTAGGAGGAGATGCAGGCATCACAGCACAAGAGCTCGCCTCCGTCCTTGCAGACTCGGCAGTACTCCATGTGGTCGTCCTCCTCCTCCTTCTCGCCGTCGTCCATCTCCCCTTCGTACTCGTCCTCCTCCTCCTTCGGCTCCCACTGCACCCCTTCCTTCTCCTGCAGGCCAGAGACACAACACAGCCAAAGAGAGAGCTGGACCATGACATTCGGGTCGTGCGGCTATCGGCGCGCCGAGGCTTGGAACGACAGAAGCCACGGAGTCCCGGTGAGGACTCAGGTGGACTTCAGACCGTTTGGGAGCCTGACTTTGACATTGCTTCAATTTCCAGCAGAGGCAAGCAAGAAATGGGCAAAGCGGTGGCCGCAGAAGGGCAATCGTCAGTCAGGAGGCCCCGCGTAGCCCTCAAGAAGTACGCCGAGTATTCTGCAAAGAAGAGCCGAACACCTGCAGCCCATCAGAGCAAACTGCGACTCCGAGCAAAGCATCAGGGTAGAAAGCATCACCGTTTCCCCCCCCCCTTTTAAATTAAGAGTGGGGTTTTGGTCCCCGTGGCTCTGAAGCAATACAGCCACATAAGAAGGTCTGACTGGGAACCACAAGGCAGCTGAGCGGACAACCTTGTAGCCCCCTCCGCTAAACCCGAGCCCCCGTCTCCTTGTCTCTATGCACACAGCACCCCCACAGTCCCCTCGGCACCCCAACCTTCCCCACCACCCCTAGCCTAACAAAACACATCCTGTTTTTCAACCGGAACCCTGTGAATCAGTACATGCAAAAATCCATGATTATTATTTTAAATTTTTTGCATGACCCATCCCCCAGTTGCAGGATTTGAATCAGTATAAATTTGGGATTGTCTATTTTGCAAGCGTAGAATTCCGGGGCCCCGGGAGCTCTGGAACGGCAGCTGGGGACCGACGCCGGGAGCAAAGCAAGGGCTGCGGCTGGCGAGCTCCTTCCCTGCAAGCGGGGGGAGGCGGGGGGGCGGGAGGTGCCGGTGTGCAGAGAACAAGGAAGGAAGGTGAGCAGCTTACACAGTGGGGGCAGCTCCACTTGCCCTCGGGGGCCTTGTCTAGCTCCGGATCCAGGCACACCAGGTGGTAAGCTCTGGGACATGAGTCGCAGAGGATGATCTCCCCGCCCTGCTGACACACCTCACAGTAGTCTTGGTGGTCTGTCTCGTAGCCGTCTGCCTCTTCGTCGCCAGCAACTGCCGGGCCGGGAAGCAGGGAGAAAGCAGAAGGCATGAGCGAAACTTCCCAAGTGGTAAGCTGAGTGCAATTTTACTTCTTTACTCGGAGAGGGACAGGTCTCGGTGGGGGTGGGGGGTCTGCGAGCAATCAGCCTGCTCCTTGGGAAACTGAGGGGCAACCATCAGTTTGCATCTACTGCCTGCCCCAAAGAAAGCAGTCAGAAGAAGATTAGATTTATACCCCGCCCGTCACTACCCAAAGGAGTTTCAGAGCGGCTTACAAACTCCTTTCCTTTCCCCTCCCCACAACAGGCACCCTGTGAGGTAGGTGGGGCTGAGAGAGCTCTGACAGAAACGGCTCTTTTTCAAGAACACCTCTGACCAGAACTATGGCTTGCCCAAGGTCATCCAGCAGCTGCAAGTGGAGGAGTGGGGAATCAAACCCGGTTCTCCCAGATTAGAGTCTGCACACTTAACCGCTACACCAAACTGGCTCACTCACCAAACTGTAGTACAGTAACCATGTACCATGGTTAAGATGTTTAGAGCTGTCTAGCGTAGAAAAGAAGCAGAGGAAGACGAAGGATTGGATTTATACCTCACCCTTCGCTCGGATTCTCAGAGCAGCTTCCAATCCTCTTCCCTTCCCCTCCTCACAACAGACACCCTGTGAGGTAGGCGGGGCTGAGAGAGCTCTTTCGAGGACTGCTCCTGAGAGAACAGCTCTCGGGGAACTTGTGACTGACCCAAGGTCACCCAGCTGGCTGCATGTGGAGAAGTGGGGTATCAAACCTGGCTCTCCAGATCAGAGCCCATGCTCCTAACCACTACACCAAACTGGCGAGTAAGGGGGACTTGCCCTAACCTGGACGGCCCAGGCTAACCCGATCTCATTAGATCTCAGAAGCTAAGGAGGGCCGGGCCTAGTTAATATTTGGATGGGAGAGACCACCATGGAAAAAGGGGTTGCTACAGAGAGGCAGACCATGGCAAACTACCTCTGATTGGAGACCCCAAGGGAGTGCCGTAAGTCATCCAGGACTGGACAGCACTTTCCACCGCCAAGGGGAGAGGGGGGAGAGACCGAACGGTGGGAGACTCAGGACAGGCACCGGGAAGTACATAGTTAAATGGTGGAACTCACTGCCACGGGACGGGGGTATCGATGGCTACTAGTCATGACGGACTCCTACTCCCTCCAGGACCAGAGGCAGTCTGCCTCTTTAAGTCAGTTGCTGGGGAGCACGGACGGGAGGGTGCGGTGGCTCGTGGGTTTCCTAGAGGCAGTGGGCCGGCCAATGGGTGAACAGAATGCTGGGCTTCGAGGGCCTCTGGTCTGATCCAGCAGGGCTCCACGTATGCTCTTATGCTCAGCAATCGCTCCCTTAAAGTCTCCAAGGATGGTTCAGTGAAAGAGCACGAAGGAGCCCTCGGGGAAGACAGCAGCTCGGACCCCACCCCTCAGTTATCAGCACAGAGCGTGTGGTGCGGCGCAGGGTTCCTTGCGCACTTACGCTGGCCTATCCGACAGAAATGAGGAAGCCAGAAGAACTTCTTGCTTCCTCGGCAGAGGCCTCTGTTTCTAGGGAACAGCTAGTGGGGTGGCCTCTTCCTAACCCAAACGCAGCAGGAAAGGAGACGGCTGCGTCGGTGTGTGCCCATTCCCCCACCTCCCGTGACCCGCATCCAGCACTCACCTTTTTTCTTCTTCCGTCCAGGCCTGCCCCGCTTCAGTTTCTTGACCCTCCCTGAACTGTCTGAACGCACCGAAGAGCTGTGAACACTAGAGTTGTCAAGGTCGGACTCCTCCTCCGGCTCTCCCAACTCGTCGCTCTGAAACAAATGCTGTACATAACCGGAGCGGCCCTCCATTAGGAAAGGCCCTTCCAGAGGCAGAAATGAGGGGAATGATGGGAAAGGAAGAGACTGCAGGGGGAAGGGGGGTAGGGGGCACCTTAAGCGGGCGTCTCGCACCAAGAGGAAGCGAAAAGAAGGCAGCCTGCCATTCACCCATCTCTGATGAAAAACGCAAGGGTAGACTATCAAAGCATTCACAAATTTCACACGCTACCATTAGACAACAGTCTACTGCAACATAATCACAGTAAAACAATTAATAGAATAGAATTAGTGGTCACAATTCCAAAATACTAGTAACAATTCAAAGAATAGAAGACAAAATTGTTATAACAATTCAATAGTGAAGAAAGAATCCAACAAGCAACTCCTAAAGACTTCAAAGTCCACAAAAAGGTAGAGAATGTCCCAAAGATAAATCTGCAGCCAAAAGCATCCTTCCTAGGTATGCCAGACATTTCAAAGCATTCTTCCTCAGATGTACGGCTGAAAAGTGGAACCTGATTTCCACAATAAACTAGGCACAGCTCATGTCTCAAATGGAATCTGTGGTTCTCCTTCCAATTTTGTCTTCTATTCCTTGAATTGTTACTAGTATTTTGGAACTGTGACCACTAATTCTATTCTATTAATTGTTTTACTGTGATTATGTTGCAATAGACTATTGTCTAATGGTAACTTGTGATATCTGTGAATGCTTTGATGCTCTACCCTTGCGTTTTTCATCTCTGTACATTTCATACGCTTGGGGTTCCTATTGTTTGGCTTATCCACCCACCTCTGGCATCTCAAAACGGGGGGTGGGTGGGGGAGAAGAGATAAGGCAAAAAGGGTCTCGAGTAATGACAAGGCCTGGAAAGACCACCGTGCAAGGTAACTTTTTAAAAAGGTAGCCGTTGACTGGTTAAGGTGCTGGACTGGAAACCCAGCCTCTTATCCCTGGGCAAGTTTGCATCCCGCTCACAACAAGAGGGCAATGCTTGAGCCACAGGGCACCCAGTCGGCCACCGTGGGGAAACGAGACGCTAGACCCGCTAGACCCACTGGACCTTTGATCTGATCCGGCAAGGCCCTCCTTCGGATTTTGATCACGCTCAGGGACGGTCTGAGGCAGGAGACTGAGTGTCAACGGTTCTGCATTATGAGATGTCGGTGGGGATATGAGGTGAGAACGTGCAGCCTGGTTCAGAACCACCGTCCCCAGGAAACCCATCAAAGTGTGTGTGTGGGGGGGGGGGTATCTTG